AGGCAGTATGTGCCTTGCGGCGCGGGCCGGCGCTGCCCGGCTCGGCCCGGCCCGGCCCGGCTCGGCTCGCCTGAGCGCGGCTCGACTCCTCGGCTCCTGCCCAGCTCCAGGTCCGTTATTGTCTGAAACGAGTTTGGGCCTCCTGGCCAAGGCATGGCCACTGCCTGGTGGCCTCGCCAAGCTGCGCCGGCCAGCCCGGGAGGGCCCGGCGGCCGGGCTGCAGATGGGCTTGCTTTGGGCTGGGCTGCAGCTGCGGCCCGGGCCGGCCGCCGGGTAGGTAGGCAGGCCCGCTGCACTCGCCTGCGCAGCTGTGCACGGGTTGTCTGCCCCCCAGGCGCCCGGGGCGACAGCAGCAGCCGCGTTTGGCTGTCTGCAGCGACAGAGACGCGGACGCACTTTTACGAGACGGTGTCGATAGGAGGAGCACCACCACCGTGCTGGACCACCACCTCGCGACGGACTCTGTGATGCGCAGGAAGCGGGAGGGGAGGACGCGACCGTGGAGGCCGTCGGCAGGAGACTCCCCGGGAGGTGACATCTTTGGCAGCGTGCTCGCGCGGGTTCTTCTGCCGGACGCGGGACGTGCTCGTCGCTGCCACCGCGTGCCGCCGCTGGCCGCGTTCTGCCGCCGCCGCCGTCCGTCGTTACGTTCGAAAGCCCTGCTTTGGCGTAAGCGCTCCGTCGCCCTCACGCGCACCTGCAGCGAGCAGCGGCGGCGGCGCTCTCGACGGGGAGGGTCCTGTGTCCGGACGAGGCGCGGCGGCGGCACTTCCCGAGGGACGTCCACGTGTGGCGGCCGCGACGGCCAAGTAGTGCATTTCGCATGCGAGCTGCCTGCCTAGGCTGCCGACGCATCCCTTTAATTAGCACTCTTAATTTATATCCTTCATTAGGACGCGACGCACCGCGGCGAGGCGAGGCGAAGCCACACAAACGAGATCAATCAACATGCTTCCTCCTCCTGAACGCGGCGCGGCGCAGAGCAGCGCGCGGCTCCTGGCGAGAGGTTCCGTTTCCAGGGGAAGTGAATGTCTGTGTATCACGTGTCTCCGCCGCGAGGGAGGGGAAAAGGGGGGGGGGGGCTGATGAACGCCAGGACGACGTGTGACGACTTTGATCCCATTCCCAGGTAGAACAGAGTCAAAATGATGTCAGGCCGACACTGACGCTTAACGTTGAATCGACAGAAAATAAAAAGTCGACGCTCCGCCTTTATAACTTTACAAGTGTCACATACCCATCATTTCGGTCATAAAATTCGCGCACAGGGGGCCTCCCTGACGACTCAACGAGTTGAAGAGAGCCATCTTGCGGCGGCAATATTTGAAACTAACTATCGATGCGTCCTGCGTCCTGATGTGAGCTGTGACCCAATGAGACGAACGCCATTCTCAATACAGGGGATAGAGTGCCCAGCTTCTGCACATTTACTACACCAACAAAAAAGGGGAGATGACACCCTGTTGGCTGCAGCGGTTTTGGCGCGAAAAACGTTCCCCCTCCCCACCCGGCCAGAGCCGCCAACCCGGCGATGTAGGGACTAATGCGTGCAACACAAGAGGAAGAAGAAGACATGCGCAGGTCAGCGTGTGACTTGTGGCGTGGCACGGCGGCAGCGGCGCGGGGCGCGGCGGGGCGTCGGTCGCACAGTAAGAGGCGGCGTGTAAATAATTTTGTTTCGTTCTGTTGTGTGCCATTGTTGGAGCGGCAACACCGCCCGGCCGGCCCAGCAGCAGCAGCAGCACGGAGCACTGCCCACCGGCCCACCGGCCACCGGCACCGGCCACCGGCCCATCCGCGCCAGCCGTGCCCGTGCCCGCGCAGCCGTGCCACGCCACCCCGCACGGCCCACCGGCTGACCCAAATACTGGCAGCGCCCTCCTGGCCTGACGTCACGGCACGGCGCGGGCACGGCCGCGCACCGCAGGGGCGCCGCGTCGTCCGCGGGGTCGTAACTTGACATACCGGCCGCGGTCACCGCGGCGGCTAACCGGCCGCCACGCACCCGCATCGTTCCGTACCGCATCGTCGAACACTGTGAAACATACCATTGTAAATTTACAAAATTTCTGTAAACTCAAATTATAATTTAAGTTGTAAATTTACGCGCGAATATATTTTTTTTTTACTCGCTAATGGATTTTAAGTCGTTACGGAATGCATGTATTTTTACGATTACAAATCGCTATTTTACAATTTTACAACTTGCGTCAAGGAAAATGTTCCTGTAAACCTTCCCATTGTTCACAGTGAAGGGGGGTGGGGTGTGGGTACAGACGGTACCTCCTCAAGTTGGGGAAGACAGAATTCTAGACACGGGAAAACGTGTGTAGCGCGCCTGAAGTACCGAGTGTATCCATCCCGGTAAAGCTGAAATGCAGAAGAATGCGGGAAACAATAAAACGGAAGTCGCCATGTTAAAGCATAGTAAGTGACTTCCGTTTCGTTGTTCCCTGCATTATTCTTCTTCTCTGCTTTACTGGAATGCTTTTGCGATTGCATACTGCACACTACGGCTAGGACTGCAGGGGCTATGGCGCCTTATAGATGGAGTGGGCAATCCTGCAACACATGCGCCCATTTAAGTGAAAGATTTTTCTTCAACTAAAGCAAGTTTTTCGTTAAAGAATTATTATTTTTTAATGTCAATGTCGTTGATTCAAGGCTAATTTCAAGGAAATTCCCTTGTTTTGGGAAGGAATCTATTTTCTGCGTTAACGGAGATTAGAGTTAATAAAACTCAGGGAAAGCAAGACGAAACTCATTGAACTAGCGTCGGGCGGTGAACTAGCGTGTAGCGCAAGACGAACGCATAGCTGTGCGAGCGGGGAGCGAGTGCATGAGTGCATCCACCTGCAGTCAGCCAGCCAGCCAGCCAGCCAGCCTGGGCGGCCTCACAATGCACGGCCAGTGTCAATGCCATGGCCACCGGCGGAGAGGCGAGGCTGATCCGCGCGCAGCTCTGGCGACGCTGCCGCCGCCGCGCCCGCAGGCCGGGTAATCACCAGAAAAACTGGCATTAGTGACGCAGCGCGCAGCCGAAGCGCCCTTACTGTCAGGCCAGACCGGCGGCCGAGCCGGCGGCGCAAGACTGCAGCGTACGCGTGGCCACGCAGGCCGAGACAAGGGCTACTCGGGAAAAAGAAGTCGAGAGGAAAGTACTCTTAAAGCTCAACATTGACCGCGGAATCATCAGCAATCATTGATGATCACTGATTTTATTGGTTCATGGAATGTACACTGATCAATCAGCAATGCTCAGCGAAAATGTCATCCACTTTCCAAACATTCCACTGAAAGAAAATTGAGGCAAAAAGCTTTTACACGACCATTGATAATTACTGATTAATCGGCACTCATGCCACGCACACTGATAAATGAGTAATCATCAATGATAGCTGATCTTTCAGCAACAATGTACAGGTCACTTTTCATATGATGTATCGGTTTTTGTGGGTGAAAACGAGGGAATTTGGGTTGACGACTGGCCGACGCCACTCCGAAAGATGGGTCGCAAGTCCCCTTTCAAGACCGCAATAGGGCAGGTGCGTTCAAACTTGGATCGTAACCGAAATTTGCTTCGGTGGGCGAACCTTTTTAATTTTTCTGAAACGTTTTTGTTAATTGCGATTACTTCTGGAGTGAGAAGTTTGCACTCGTTTTCCCAATCACCTTATTGTAAATTCCGGGGCGTCTTGCACCCTTGCCATCCGGATTGCTGACCAGTACAATGTGAGCGGCCAAATTTGCAGGGGGGAAAAAAGAACGGAAATCAGGTTAGGGCAACATTCCTCACGGGTCGCTTTGCTCGGGCCTGGCTCGGTCCGACAGTCTACTCTCTTCCTGATGTGTCACGAGAACGATCCACTTTTAAAGCGCATTCCTGATGGCATCGGGCTCCGCCCGGCCACGGCCCGGCCCCTCGAGGAGCAAGCGACTCATCGGAACTGCTGCTGCCTAAACGAAACTCGGCGCCGCGGGGCTCTAAGTGCGTTTTGCACTGGCGCATACCAGGCGTCTGATTAACCCCGCTCACTTCTGTAGTTATGCTGTACACAACGCACGAGTGCGGGCGGGTTGCCTACTCGCTGGGCCCGTCAGGCGCCGTGGACAGGGGCCATAGGCAAGCCCACCCGCACTCGTGCGTGCGATACAGCAGCATAACTTCAGAAGTGCGAGGGGTAAATCAGCCATCTGGTACCCAACCAGATGGCGGTATCCGATCTACAAACAATCAGTGATTTTGTCAAATAATACGATGAGAGAGATGTCATAAACAATATGCAGAAAGGAAAACATTTCCAGGAGGGTGAGGCAGCCACGATGCGAGGTTTCGTTCGTGACCGTAGCCAGCACTTTAGGGTAATGCGCCCGGGATATGAGGTGCGACACCCACGTGGCCACCCGAGGCACGACGGGCACCACGTGCACCGTGGCGGGGGGCAGGGCCTGGGGGGCGGCCCGAGGGGCAGGGCGGCCCCAACAACCCGTCGTTAATATTTCTATTCAAACGGGAATCACGTTCCCTTCCCATAGCCAAGCGCTTCGCGTCCCGTCCCGGCTAGCGCTGCGGTGCGGTGTGGTCCCCGCCGAGCCGAGCCACTCGCCCATTCAGAAGCTGGCCGCCGTGCTGACCTCATTTTCCTATTTTTCTTGTTCTTGCGCCGCCCTGGCCGCCCCGGGGCCAGCGGGGATGTTTCGTGACGATGGGCGGCTCGAAGGTGGTGACCAGGACGGGATTCTCTCCCCGGTGGAGCAGGCTGACGGCAAACCCGGAGGACTCCGCGGCGAGCACCGAGACTGGGTCAATAGAGGCTCGGCATGTCTCGGTCGGAGGAGTGCCGGCGAGGGGCGTGCCGGCCACGGGCGTGAAGGGGACGACTCGCGCCTACCACACGGGCGTTCCAGGGAGGCCGGCAGCGGGCGTTCCAGCCATAGGGTGCGCCGGGTGCGCCGTGCCGGCCGAGCGGGCGAGTCGGTGGAACAGGTGGAACACCTACCTGAATAGGTGCACGGCGTCGACGGGTCCCAAACTTAAGGCACTGCACACTACTGCACACGGCACACTGACTGCACTCACTGCTGCACTCTGCTGTCGCACGCACTCACACACACTGCGCTACGCTACGCTACGCCACTGTACGCCGCGCTACGCCACTGCACAGAGCTCGCGTCGCGTCCTGCACGTCCCGCACGGAGCCCGGACCGCACCGGATCGGAGGCCGAGGGAAGACTGAACAGAGCGAGCGGGGCGAGCCGAGCCGCGCTCGCCGCGCGCCCCGCCACGCCCCGCCGCGCCCCGCCGCGCCCCGCCACGCCCCGTACCGGCTCGGCTCCCACTTCTCGGAACGGTCCCCGTCCCCGTCCCGATGCCGTCCCGTCCCGACCGACCAGAGGGCTGAGAGACAGAGATGGCCATGGGCAGCTCTGACCGAGGCTCTGACCGAGGCTCTGACCGAGGCTCTGACCAGGCCAGAGTTCTCAAACAGGTGGGTAATGCCGGCCTCGTCAGACCCGAGGCTCGCCTTTTTACCCAACCCGACCCTTGGCAGAACCTGGCAGGAGTTCATCAGGTCGGGGGGTCGTGTCCACGGGTCCGTGGAAATCGGATCTTTGCGCGACCCGGACGTTTCTCGGGAACCGACGGCAGTGGATTGGATATATTAGAGGGGATAGTCGTCAGGCAGGTTAAGGGGATGAGGGAGAAAACCTTGCCGGTCTAGAAGACCACACCGCGTCGCGATGCGTCGATCAAAGACAAAAATTACTCTACCCACGAGCTCTCTCGCCTGCTAGGTGGCATGGTCAAGAGACCCATCTGACTGAGAACTCCGGACCAGGCTCTGACCATCGACGGAGAAAGGGGTAAAGAAATAGATATAACCCGCAGCGAAGCCCGACGCTTCTAGCAGCTATACCGAGCTACACTCAGCCATGATCTTCCATAATATCGCTTGAGATTTTCATGACGATGCGAGTATAGTCGCGACCTCAGTCAGCTGGCTTTCCGTCCTCAGACGCACCTTCAGTGTGGCTGCTTCAGCGAGCCTGTTTCAGCCAAGCGTGAGTCCAACATCCCATCGCTTCGCTTCAGCCGGCTGAGACCGCTTCAGGAGACCGCTGGCTGCCCCGGCCCTCCCGGCCACCCCCCACTCTGCCTGAACATGCCGCTGCAAGTTGCTGATTCGCGTTCCAGACAGGTTAGAGGCGACCTTAGGGGCAGGGACGGAGGGGCGGGAGGAGGGAGGGGAGGGACGACTCCGGACTATGGAAAGCATTCACTTCGGCATTTCCTCGTCCACGTTTGGTCAGGGAGACCCTTTTTATGTGTAGTTACTGTCATGTCTTTTGTTTCTCTGTCTCTCTGTCTGTCTCTCTCTCTGTCTTTCCTGTTGCTGCTTCTCTCTCTTTCTCTCTCTCTCTGTCTCTCCTGTCCTCGAATTTTTGAAGCCTCTGACTCTGCCCTGAACCTGGTCGTCGTGAGTTACGTTAGCGGAGTACCTACGTGTGCGACGTCGTGACCCGGCGCCGCTCTCGCCGCCCAGGAGGCAGAGTTTGTCTGCTGTTAGAGAAGGATTTGGAATCTGGGTGAGCCGCAGCATCGCTCACCGCGACATCTATGGGTCCAGTGTACGCAGGCTGCGCAGGCACGGCACAGCACGCTCCCAAAGGCCCACCGCGCCGCCCGACCCGGCCCGACCGGCTATCCACGCTCCGCCACGCTCTGTCTCCCACCGCCGGCAGCCCCCCCC